AAAATAGGGCAGATTCTTTCCTTATAACTTCTTGCTGTCTCTACAGCAGTGTTTTCCCTAAACATGAAAAAACTTTTCTCGCTCAGCCTGTGACTTCTGTTTTTTTGTTACTGTGTTAATTACCACAACATCCTGGTAACTTTTTGTAAAACTCCTGACAGCAGACCTGGGTGCAAACCCTGCTGCACATCAGGGAAATGATAAAGACTAAAAGAGCAAACATGTGTAAGGAGAAGCCTTGGGATGATACAGTGCTGTTTGCATGCAAGCATAACAGTTGTGAAGTAGCTGCTTTTTTGTTTGTTATCTAAAACTTTTTATAGCCTGGAGAATAAATAGTATTCTTTCGGCTGAAGAATACTGATATTGTTTGAGATTAATTTACTGTTGGGAACAGTTTTTGGTTTTTGGTGGTAAAACTGTCTTCTAGGCAAATATGTAGTGGGAAAAAGAGGCATATTTCTCATGAAATACAGAATGAGCTACACCTGTGAGTTTCTTTGCACACATAATAGTTTATGTAGACTGTTTAAAAATCATACCTTTCTTACATTAGGAGCACAGCCTATGGAAATGCAAAATCAGGATTGTAAAACATTGGTATATGAAGCAACATTCTCCTTTTTGAATTTGTAATTAACATTCACACTTATCGTATCTGGAGAATGGCCCCTTATCCCTCCCTAGTTGCCAAGTGACCCTAAGGTGTGATATACTGCATGTAAAACCAGCAACAGTTTACAGTTCAAAGTGCTTAAAAAGATAGTTACAAATAGGGAAGTAACCACCTATTGCAAGTTAACCTTGAATTGGGTTAACACTGAAGGCAACAAATGATAAAAATCGAAGTAAGGTAGTGAATGGCAGGATCTTTGAAGGGCTTAAGGAGGCAGAAGGTGACAGGCTGCTGAATGGACACTTTGAAGGAAAAAGCCAAGGCTGGTACCTCCTTAGAGTTTGAACGGACACTGCACATCTTGTAACTCATCTGGTCAAAGGATCACATAAATGTGATCAGAGTAAGATTCTGTGATACTGGGGAAAGGGCTGAGTGCAGAAACTAAGGCTTATATCATATCTAATGCAGCTGTTTTAACCACCTCAAAAAGCGTGTTGCCCTGTGGTTCAGGGGCTGTTAAAGAGCTCATCCACCAGTCTTTCTGAAAACAGTTCAAGAACACAAAAAAAGTACTCTGTTTTTTACTAATTGGATTTTATATATACTTGGTCTCATTTACACACTAAACTAAAGCAATGTACTATTTTATTATGGGATGTTATTAAAGTGTGTTCAGAAACCTTTCTTAACTGAGTGGTTTGTTGTTGCAACTTTGCCACACCTATTTTTCTTGCTCCTTAAAATAAGTACATAGTCTTCTGCGTCCCACCTCCATGCCCTTATTAATATGGGCAGAGGAGGAAGTATATATAAAATTCAGCATGCAGCCATAAAAGGATTTTTTTTTGCTTCCCATAATTCAAAGGAGAAAATAAGTTTCTGCATGTCCCCTTAGCAGTTGAAGAAAAATCCAGAAGGGATTCGTTTTCCAGTTAAACCCAAATCAGAATTCAAAGACTTGCTGGTTTTCATTGCAATTTAAGGAGCTTAGCATAACTTCTTATGACTTTTAAAACTGTATTTTATGTATTTGTTTTGCCATCCTGTTGGCAGAAGGGTTTCATGCACATGTAATAGTAAAAGAGACAGGGTGAGTCACAAGGTAAGTATATGTAGGTTTTAACATCTGATGTAATCCTAGCAGGTGAATTTTATGTTAGTAACAAAAAAAAGCAGCTCAGAGCCCTTTTTGTAACGCCTCTACATCTCGTGTCCCCATCTACAGCAGATGTGTTTGAATATTTCCCTGTGATGCTGAGGAGGGTTCAAGGAAATAACCACCTTCCAGCCACTGATCATGTTTTATGGCAAACTGAATTGAAGTATGCAGAATAGTTGCAGCAAGTACATTATGTCTAGTCAATTACTTCCTTAAGGTCTCCCAGGAGCAAAACTGATTTCTTAGGTAAGATTTATTTTCAGAGTTTCTTTGATGTGGTAGAACTCTGGAAACCACTGAAAATGTATGGAAATATTGCCAATGATCATATGTAGATTTTTCTTCTAGTTGCATATACATATTGTATTCTGAGTATCTAATGCTTGCAGTGTGTGTAGTTTTTCAGTCTCTGTGATGGGATCTTAAACTTTTTGTATTTGTACTGCTTTTTCATGCAGTGCTTGATTAAGTTGTGGACCTCATAGTCAGTGGATGTTGTAGAAGACAGAAGTGCAAAAACCCATTTATTGCTAAATGCTGGGGGTTCTTTTGGGAAAATATTACTGAATACTTGCGCTGTTCTTTTGTTCTTCCCCCAAACGTTTGTTACTGGCAACTTCTGAAGCAGCAGAATACAGCAATCAAGAGCTATCAATCTTGGTTTGATCCTGTGTGACCATGCCTGGCTACTGATTCTTTCAGCCACCTACAGCTTGCTGTAATACGAGTGATAGCTCTAAACATTTTGATAAAAATAGTCTTTGAACATATGGTAACTCTCAACTTATTTTTTTTTTTCTTGATCAACCTCTGGATGAAAATAATGTAAAATCCTCATGTACATTAATCCCACTACCTTCTGTGATTAAATTTGTGTTTGTGTCTGCGTATGCATGAGCAAACGTATTTGTCTATGTTGCACATGTGCAGCAGTTGCATGCATTTCCATCAGCAGTGATGGGAAGTGTGTGCAGGCTTTTGGGAATACTGTTTCTCAAATACTGTAGCAGACAAGCTGTTATGTTCCTTCAGTATGAATAGTGTAAGTTTAAATATTAAACTTGTTTTAGATTTTTTTTTTTTAAAACAACCACCACACCTCCCCCTGGTGCCTCCCCAGCCTTAGCAGCAGTCTAAAGGATTAACCACTAGAGGCTTTGGTATGTGGGCTGATCTTTTGAGAAAGGGTTGATGTAGAATTTATGGAGTCTATGCTTACAGTACATTTGGGAAGCAGACGAAGGGAGAAGAGGCACTGTAACAGAGTCACCTGAGTATCCTAGGGTTTTTTGCTGTCTCATGTGGTGGTTCTGATTTATCAGTGGTGTTACCTTCTACCTTCATAATAGTGTATATTTATTTTTCAAATAAATACAGTTTAATATTGACCATTGTAGGTAAATCAGACTCTGCCAGATTATACCTTTCACATTCTCTGGAAGGTTCTACATGGCATCTAATCCTCAAATGGCTAAATGTTCCTGTCCACATCTCTTGTGTCAGTGTCACAAGCTCCTGCCAGGCTTCTTGGGTTAAAGCTCATAAGAGAGACTTCTTCAAAGCAAAAGCAGCTCTTTGGAAAATATTACTTACTTGTCTTTGAATGTATCACTGGTTCAAGGGAAGTAAGTTCAATGATTTTTAAAGCTTATCCATCCTGACAGGCTCTTTAACAAGTATGTGTTGTTACCTGGTTTCAGCAGTGAAATTGGGCTTCTTGACCTGTTCTGTGTAGCTAGTGGGCGCAGCTGCGGGAAGAGAAGCCTTTCCTGCATGGCAGACTTTCCTTAAGCTGCCTGCTGCAGGTCACTTGTACTCTTTTGTGCAGTTAAAGGGCATCTCTCCAATAAGTTAAGATTTTAAAATCAGTTTAAAGGTACCAGGAATAAGAAAAAATAGATTCACAAGAGTGTTTGGATTAGTTGTTTTCTTATTTTGAAAACTACCATTCCCCTGACAGGGAAAATTGCCATTTTATTTTTGCCTTTGCTAGAGCAGTCTTAAATGATTTTTTGTAGGTAAGAAATGTTGGGTTTTTTAACCTGTCCCAGGAATTATTACTTGAACACATTTGAATATGTCTTAGTTGAACTGACAATCTAAAAAAAAAAAACAAAAAAACCCCAAATTTGTCAATTTATGCAAATTTTCCCCTGAATTTGAATCAAAATGCTCAGTGATCCAAAACCTTCTAAAACCTGCCTTGGTCAAATTTTTCAGTGTTTAGCGACTCAAACAGCTTCTTTTCTAGAACTTATCCATTGATCACTCCCTTATTTGCTGGTGGTTTGTCTGTCAGGGGAAGGTGTTGTTTTTGGGTTTTTTTTCCCTGTTACTATTATGACAGAGGGGCTCGGGTTGTGGGGGTTTTTTGGGGTTGGTGTTTGTTTGTTTGTTTGTTTGCTTGTTTTTTTTGGGAGTCTGTACAACGTGAGGACTGACTGTTGGGTCAACTCGACTGAGGATATGTTTGGGTTTTTTTTGTGCAGAAACATGAGTTCTCAGGTGAAGTAAAAGGATAATTTCTAAATGAGATTTGCCACTGAAAGGCTTGTGATCGTATTTGGGTTCCATACTCAGTAGAAAGATCAGTGTGTCCCTTAGCAGGTTTTTGGTGATTTTGGTTTGGTGGGGTTTTTTTGGGTTTTGTTTTTGTTTTTTAAGTTTTGTATATGGCCACGTGTGAAATGTGAGTTTTTACATTTAAGGGAATAGTTGAAGTTTTATTGCTGGTGTAGAATGGTTATGAAAAAGAAAAAAAATAATTCATTTGGGCTAAAGTGGCACATACTTAATTTTTTTTAGCTAAAGCATTATAATGAGCACTTACTTGAACACCTTGTTCTTCTCAAATCCTCTTGCCTTCTGATGCTCTTTCTTTCATTATTCATCAGATTCCAAAAGAGGAATTTAGAAATTAAAGAGGTTTTTGGAAAAAGTTCTGACTTTCCTTGTGTAGACAAAAATTGATCTATCAATAATAAAATCCACATCACAATTGAGTTTTCTTTTGAGCCATTTTAGATAAGTTGTATGTTCTAATTGTGTATATATTAAGTTCAGGAAATACAATGTACTATTATTTTTAAATGAGTACACACAGACTAATTAAAAGAATCTGCCTGATGCATGAAATTGTATTGAGGATGTTGTGGGGACAGTAGTAAGATAAATGTTTTTTGGTCTTTTCTTAAAAGTTGTTATCTTTTTCCCTGAAAGATGGTTGACCCTACTCTAGCAGAAATGGGAAAGAATCTGAATGAAGCAATGAAGATGCTAGAAGACAATCAAAGGTGTGTGCAAAGGATAACAACTACAAAAACAATATCTGTTTGTGCTAAGGGGAGGGTTATTAGTGTCACTGTCATTAAGCAGGAAAGAACATATTTTCCTAGTAGTTTAAGGTCTTATTGTAATTCTGAAGCTTACATCTATGCAAATCACCATTGTTTCTCAAATTATGGGATTTTAAAAATAAATATATATATTTTTATGCATGTTTCTGTAATATTCAGAGTAAGTCCACCGAGCCTGTTTTTTCAGAGATGTTATATTTTTTTTTTTCCTATTGCTGTGCAAGTAACTTTTAATTTCTATATATATGAGACTCTTCTGGAAGTTTGGCATTTTCTGTTAAAGAACTGAAAAACCAAAACTTAGCAACTCTTTAATTCAGTCTGAGCTAAACTTTTGTGTTGGTCTCATCTGATGTATTTATGAAACTGCTGTTGGTGAAATAGATTCCAAACATGTCAGTGTGTATTTCTGCATGTCAAAGTTAACTGCATATTTTGATAAAACACAAACTAAATACATAGTTTATCATTGTGTCTTTAACTTAGAAAAGTGGAAGAGGAAAATGAAAAGAAGTATGCACGGAAGGATATTCCTGGACCACTCCAAGGCAGGTAGGCAGCAACAATTTTCAGATAATGCTCTTTACTTTTCAGAATCTGTAAAATACATGTAACATGCCTGTTTTCCAAGGAACTTCTGTATTAGTGTGAGCATGAACATTTACCAGGCCAGGCATTATTTCAACTTTTTCCATACTCACCTAGGGGGAAAAAAAATCTTATACCAGCAATTTCCATACTCACATAGGGGGAAAAAAAAAAAAGATTACCTGTCCTTGGTGACTGAAGTTTTGAACTGTTGAAATCTAATGAAGTACTGGTGCATATAGCTGTGATTCAGACTTAAAGTAAATATAGATTAACTTGTGCCATAGAATAAAGATTCATTAAAACACCCAGATAAAAAAAATAACCGAGACTGATCAGGTAGAAAACCTTAAAACCCCCCAAAAAGCCACAAAACAAAAAGAAACCAAAAAACCTCCACCTTTTCAGCACAGCTGTCTTAAAAAATTATACAGAGCTCTTGTGCATAAGGCAGGTAAGATCATTCTACCTGAAAACTAAGGTTTGAATTTGTTGTAGCCTCTTTGGAAGAGGATCCTGCAGGAGCCCAAGCTAGCACTTCAGAAAATACTGCAAAATCTATTTAAGTCTTTTGTGTACATAAATTAAACTTCTTTTTGAGTGGAGACACTGAGTTAGCTTTTCTAAGATTAAAAAGCAATTTCAGCTGTCAGAGTGCACGTTCTTATACAAATTGAAGTGTTGTGGGTCTTTTCCAGTTTTACCACATTAGAGTGCATCATGTCAGAAGTCTAATGTAGCTTTTGTATGCTAGAAACTAGTACTTGCAGGTAATTGTTTAAGAGATGAGCTGAGTTTGTGAGCTGAAGCTGGATCACATCAAGAGAAAGTTGGATCCTTAGCTATTACCTTACTTTGCTGTGTAGCAGTATGCGATTTAAGGTTGCCAAGTAAAACTCCACAGTCCAAATTTTCAGATTTCAGTAGATTTGTTTTCCTGTGAGTCTGAGTTCACACTTATTGAAGTGTCCTACTCTCATTAAGTAGCGTTTTGAATTAATTGGTTCAGAAACTATGTGTTTACTATGTGTTTTTCTGAGAGCAAGGAACCGTGTTTTTTGCTATACTCAGCATTCTGTAAAAGTGCAGTGTTGTATTCATGTCTTACCATGCAGTGTCCCAGATCGCCTCTTCTTTAGATGCTGGTACTTACTTTTTCTTTTTAATGTGTTTTTTATTTTTCCCTCCCCGGTATGTCAGTGGCCAGGATATGGTGAGCATACTTCAGTTAGTTCAGAACCTAATGCATGGAGAGGAGGAAGAAGAAACTTCCCAGGCCTACCGGTAAAGCCAATATGATTTATTGTATGTGGAAGATACCTGATTTTGTTATATTCCGATTGTTATAGAACTTAAATATGTAAGTGTTTGAAAGTGTGAAGATATTGTGCAACCATGTAACTTTTTAAAGGCAATTTATAGCGAGCCAGAATAATGCATTAGGCTTGGCTTTCTTAAAATTATAAAGCTTTCATTACTAATTACTAAATTGAATTATATAAGGGAATTCTTTCTTTCTGATGTGATAGCTCATTTTGTTTTCTACTTTCTGAAAGTTGTTTTAAATCTGAAAGTCTTATAAAACTTTGAATACCAGTAATTTTTTTACCATCTCTCCCTGTAGATTTTAAAGGAAAAAAAAGGAAATAAAATTGTTTTCCATTTTACTGTAGAATGGAAATAATGCTAACTAATCTGCAGAAGATTAATGAAAACTAACATTTGAAAAACAATTTGGAGGTTAAAAAACAAAAAATAACAAAAATCCCCCAACAAACGAAAAACCCCAAACAAACTAATGAAAGTTATGCCTCTAAAGATATTAATAAATCTCCTAAGTTTTCTCTGCGTGAGGAGAGAAAGGTATATGTTTAATGCACTTAAGTCCCAATGCAGACTTTAAGTCCCAAAGCAGATAAGGTGCTTAGTTCTGACTCATGATGGGCTAAAAAAGAAGCCGAGGTGTTATCGTAAGCAGCTAGGCCAAATGCAGTGCAAGTGTTTTTGTCTACACTGGCTCTTTAGTATGTAACACACGATGGCAGGAAGGTGACTCTGGTATACTTTACTTCTCTTTGCTAAATATTTAAAAAATTGCATGTTGATAAATTGTGCCACTCTACAGTAAAAACATGCAAACCTAAAATTACTGTAATGTTCATGACATGTATTTAGCTGGCAGTTACTCTGTTCTGGCTTGCAGACTTCAAAATGTTGGTGAACAGGGTCACATGGCTCTACTGGGACATAGTTTGGCTGCTTATATATCAGTGCTGGACAGGGAAAGACTGAGAAAACTTACAACAAGGATCCTTTCTGATACTACTCTCTGGCTCTGCAGGCTTTTCAGGTGAGTCACTGTGAATAACTTATGTATGACTAGGTAGTGATAACTGTTTAAAAATATGTATGACTGGACTGAGGATGTCAACAGAAGAAACCACTGTGCCACAAACTTACAATTATTCTTTGAAAGGTCTGAAATACATGACATCATTTAAAAAAAAGAGAGAGACTTCTTGTTGAATGGCAGGAACTTATTGGTAACATGTTTGCCATAAAAATCCTTTTATAAGGACCATAAGGTGGAGCTAAGGGCCAAAGTACCCTTGCAGACAGCTGGTCAAACATTTAACTGAATTCTTGTTTCTTGAGGCATATGTTATGTTGCTGAGTCTTGGGGTACTTCCTGTTTCTAAAAGATGTTTTCAGTTAACTTCTCCTTTTTTCTTCCTGGATCTAGTTTATTTTTCCAGGTGTGGTAGGTGACACTACTGAAATTTACACTACAGTGAAATCTTTCATAAATGGCTGTTTCATCATGTAACATAGAGATCTTACACTGTTCATGAGAGGAGAAAGGAAATCAGCTGTGTAGGGGTGTTGCGGTAGGGGGGGAAATTCACTGATTAGAAATTCTTTTTTTTCTTCCTGAAGCAAAAAAACCCCTCCACTTTCTCCCTCTCATGATGTGGTATATTTCTGAAAATCTTGCCAGTACTACTGAGAAGATATATGTATATATTTTTTTTAGTGCAGTGCCAGATGAAAAAGTAAACATATAACTGAAGTTAAGCCAAATTTAGTTGTTAGAATTGCTACATTGACAGAGTCACCGCTATCAGAATTATTTTATAAATTCAATTATTATCTTTATCTGTCTTTGACTTCAAGATGTTGAAACCTTGTGCAATGATGAAATTTGAGAAGTTGCAGGTAATCCAGCTATTTCGACAAATTAATGTGTATATAGAGAGTGCGTCAGTGATGTTTCTAAATTTCATGGCTAACAAAAAGAAATATTTCTGGTTTGAATCAAATATTCAGTAACATTGTGATTTTGTGATTAATGTCGAGTTATCTATTGGACTGCCCCAAAAAGTGACCAAAGTTTTGTGACCCATAGGCAACAGCATTGAACAAATACCGTGTTGTGAACTGCTTCATACTTCTTGATGTTTTATGTGGCTATGAGCACCCCTAGAGGAATTTCCGTTTGCCCATGTTAGATCACAGACCTATTGTGTAAAGGTGAAGTAAATGTTTGCATGTGGGTACTTCTGGAGTTAAACTCTGGAATACTCAGCAGTATTTGTGCATCAGATAGTCTGTGATAACCTAAGATGTTTCAGATGTAACATGAAGTAAATTTGTTGATAAATGCCACTCTTAAATTGTGCAAGATCACTGATTTATGTGTTGCACAGAAATGCTAAAAGAAAAATCTGGCTTGCAAGTTGCTTAATAAATTGACATACCTACTGTTTTCACTGTTGCTCTTTCCTTTTCTGTAGTTAAGGCTGAGAGATTGCCTTCCATGTGGAATATTCATGCCTTATCTCTCCTTTGGTTACTTTGCTCCTGTTTCGTGACTATAAAACTTAGTAGGCTGATCTGGATTTGATTCTAAAAGGGTTAAAAAAGGTCAGGGAGGAGCAGACACACATCTCGCACTCCCATGAGCCCCAAGGAAACATGCCTAATAAATCAGTTTGAAGGCAAAATAGCCATAAAATCATTAAAATATTCCTGGGGTAAAATATACTTCATTTATGTAACTCATGTATTTAAAGCATCTGGAAAACTGTCTTGCAGTGGGCTGAATAGATTGTACTGACTTGTGGTCTTATTTTCAAGCTCGCTAAAATAAAAATGACATCAATAATTTTGGGTATTACAAAGTATCTTGATTTGTGATTTCATAATAAAGTTTGCAAGTTTCCACCCGCTTACCTTATTTCGTGTGTCTCATTACAATTTTACTAACTCAACTTAAAGAATGTCAGGTTGCATTCTCTTTAAAATGAGCAGTCCAGAATTTACATATATATTAAGCCCAAATTAAGTCTTTCGTGTGTTTCCTCCCCTCCTCTACTCTTACTAAGCAAGGTTTTGAACTCTGTAAAGGAAATCCTTAGGAACACAGATGGTTTTTCTTTCTTACTTTATCTCTGAGTCTAAATGAAAATATATACTGGGCTTCCCTCATTGTTAATCTCAGCCCATCTCATCAAAGTTTCCTTCTACTCATACTTTATCCTGGGGAAAATAGAAGGGTTTTTTATCTATCTTCCTTGTCCTCTTGTGAGCTCCTTCACTGGTCAGTGTTACTTTAGTCACTAAACTGGCCACTGGTTTTGTTGGTCATATTTACTTGGCTTTTCTTGCAGGTATGAAAATGGATCAGCATATTATCATGAAGATGATCGTGAAGGTCTCCTAAAAATCTGTCGACTTGTTATTCACACACGCTATGAAGATTATACAGTAGAAGGATTTAATGTGCTATACACTAAGCAGCCTGTCATATATATTAGTTCTGCAGCTAGAACAGGCTTGGGCCAAGCTCTCTGCAATCAGGTAAGGTGAATCAGTTGGGGTTTTAGCTGGAAGTAGAACTTACCTGGTTTCATATTGCCCACTTGAAATTTAGATTTTAAAAATATAGTCAGACTTTTCCTGCAAGGGACTGGTATTTGCAGTGCAGTCTGGTACACTACTGGCAGCAGTCTTGTAAATTGGTTGGGGCCAGTGAAAGTTTTCATTTAGATCCATGTGTCTGCCTGGAACTGCCACTGTTACAAGTGAAGCTTCTTCCAGATTTTTCCCCATGCTACTGTGTTGACTGAATACATATATCCTGGGAAGCAAGCTGAGCATCCTCTCTCTGCAGCTCTACTGTTCCTTCCACACATTCGCTTGATAAGTGTTCCTCATGAGCAGGTTCACTTCATCCTCATCTCTTTGCCTTTCTGTGTACATAGTAGATTTTGATAGCTTATAAAATTATATATGTTTCTAAGACTTAAGATGATGTGTCTGCCCGTTGAAACACAATATGAAAAAAGGCATTTTGAAGAATGAGGAATGAGCTTTTGGCCTCAAAAAAGTTGATTTTAGGAAAAGCATAACTTTGGTGATTTTGAAAACTTAGTTATTTCTCCTCGTGGTAGAACCAATACCAATGTGACTAAACAGCAACACAACGGGGGGTGGGAGGGGAAGTGAGTCTGAGGTGAAACCATACTTTGATGCCAGCCAATATCTGCAAGCTAGTAATACAAAAATGCTATACAGTGTGTTGGTATTGCTTTATTAATTGTGATTTCCAATGTAATTATAAAACATAGGCAAAGGAAGCAAAGTCCATACTGGGGGTAATCACAGTAGCTGTAGTAGACTGTATGTTTAAATTAAAACCATTTGTCTGGAAAAATTGCTTTCAGATTGCATTTACAGTCTGTGTTTTGCAGCAATGATACAGTGGGAGTAAGAGAAATTTTCTGAATATTTCCAGTGAAAGCATCCTACATGCTAACTTTTTTAAGGAGTGATTATTTCTAGATTGCATTGTGCTTTACATAAGCTGTTGGTCGTGGTGAAAAAGAGCCAAGCCCAAACATACTGGATTTCTAAACACTGAGTTATTGCAAAATTTGCACTGAATGATAGCCCTGTATTCTTATTTTCAATAAACATTCTCTCTCTCTCTCTTTTTTTTTTTTTTAAATAAGGAAAACAGTTGAGGGAGAGGTAGGCTGTGCTGATTCCTTGTTTGGAATAGCAAGATTACCCCCACAACCCAGCACTTTAAAGAAACCCATTTTTTTGCCTAGTATTTATTTGCACAAACGTTTGTGGACTTAAGCTAATTGAGGCCATATACAGGCTTTCCTATTGCATACCTTAACATTCAGTGCACTAGTGGTATTTTTCAAACTTAACATACACTGAAATGAAGAGCCAAGTTCTTCGGGCCTTTGTTTTTCAAGTCTCTGGAGAAGGCAGGCAGAGGTTCTAGTAACAGATTAAAAATGTAGACTGCAGAGAAATAAAAATGGTATCATAGATGGAACTTGTCACAGCCAAAATGACTTGGGAAGTAAGTGGTAAAAGTTCATTGGGGTAAGTTGGTGTCTTTGTTAAGCCAAGTGCTGCATGTAGTTACTGACTGAAACTTCTTGATACAAGAAATGCTTCTAAGAATCAGTATTTTGGGAGCCTTTTGCTTCTGAGTACAGAGTTGATACTGATCATAAGTGGTGCGTTATCTTTTGTTTATAAGGTAACCTGACCACATTAGGTGATCACTGAACTTAAAAGTGATAGCATTTTATCTTAGATTTTGAATTAGTTTGATTTCTGTTAAATGAAGGGATAAAACCAAACTAGTCTGTAACTATAGGTCTCTTAGTTTGCTGAACCTTCTTCTCAGGGATGAGTATGATCAACTACATTTCACTTGTCTAGTGATCTTCCAAGTTAAAGACCAAAATGTAAGAGACTGATTCCCCAGCTCCCCTTCATGTTAATGATGCAGAAGTTATCTAGAATTTGCCTCCATAGTGAAGGAAGAACTTCAGACTCACCAGCACGAATAGTCAGCTGAGCTGTATGATCAAAGTAGGCAAATTGGTCTCTACTAGGGGTAAAGTGTCTGTGAGCCTCCAGTGCAACGTGGCCCATGCACAAAGCACACGTTTTGCTTATATTATTAATTATAAATTATTAGTATTAATTGCAAGAGTGACTGAGAAAAAGAGGACTGAGTTTACACTGTTGTACAGGGCACTGATATCTCATTAGGAAAACTGATTGCACTTGATGTGCTAACCAAAAGTTGACTGTTGGGTTTTTTTTTCCACTTTATCCTGTGTTTTCTTTTCTCTGCTATTAATTTGATTATAACTTTTATCATGAAACTTACTTTATAATGTAGTATCCAGTTTCTTATTGTCATGTTTACTATTTTTTGTGTCAGTCTGTATATGTCTGTGAACGCTTGAAATAAGTATGTCTCAGTTGTTGAAATTCCATCATTTTTATTGCAGCTAGGGTTACCCCTTTCTTGCCTGTGCCGCGTGCCTTGTAACACTATGTTTGGATCTCAGCATCAAATGGTAAGTTTGTCTTCTTCCATAAGAGCTTTTTTTTTTTTTTTAAACCTCTCATTAAATGAATATCACGTATGTTGTTAGGAAAAGCTTATTAATGTACTCACTTTTTCAATCTGTAAGTCTTCTGTGTTATAGTTGTATAAATCATAGATTGAAATCTTCTAAAAAGCCAGCAACTCATATCTTGGTCTTGTTGTTTGCAAGGTATTTTTGATAGCCTATAGGAAGGTGCTTTTTAATCCAAGATTTTTACAATACATGCAGTCAGATGTACATTTACAACCTACATGATGTATTTCTGTTGTATTTTTCAAAAATGCTTTGTCTGACCTTCATGTTATTTTACTTTTAAGAAGAAGAAACTGCAGGCCACAAAGACAAACATAAAGAGCGTCTTCCAGAACTTCATAATGCTGTCCTTTTTCACTCTTAACACATTTTTCCAGTCCAGCAGAAACAATTCTGTATTGTTTGACAAGCATATTTATAAATACATATCTTTTTCTTATTGATAACAGGATGTTGCTTTGTTGGACAGATTGATTAAAGATGATGTTGAGTCTGGAAAACTGCCTTTGTTGCTTGTGGCCAATGCTGGTAAGTGCTTAGGGATGAAAAATAACAAAAAAAGTACCCTATTTA